TGCCTGCTGTTTGCTCTTGCAAAATTAGAAAACTGTGCCAGGCTACTCTTCATACTTCAGGTTTGGGTGGTCTTGGATCAAAATTCTTGTGTTCAACAGACTCAGATACCCAACTGAAAGCGGTGCTGCCTTCTGCTAGTGCAGCCAGGGTAGGAGCTGGGGCCTGTAGCTCTGAAGCCAACAAGATTCAGGTATTGAGAAATATTTGAGTTATATTTCATTTTCACTGGGGAGGTATGTGCGTAGAGAATAGAGCAAACATAGCTAATCCCTTATTCCTTGATTTTTCTTTTCTACTGTAATTGAATTTGCCCACAAATGGCAGTGTAAACATCCCCACTGCACACTAGCACAGCGGTACGGACAGCAGTCAAAACAAGAAATTCCCCCTGCTTTAGCAATCTGCTAATCTGAACGTTTCCATGACGAATATGGAAATGGCTGATTCTAGACACAAATTTGGTCATGATTGGCTGCAGACTGTAAAAACACATGAAAAATCTCAATTTCTGCAGCTAGTTGAAACCAGAGATGCATTTCTGTGTGCATTATCTGCTGTGTTGGCCCTCTGCCTTTTAGTGTTGTTGTGGTTTGGTTTTTTTTTTCCCCCCTAACTCATTTATCATTTTATTGCTTATGTTTGCTGGAGGATACACAAGCAACTTGAAATTCTCAAGTCCATCTTAATCTTGTATCTAAACGCTAACTGCTAACACAGTAAGAGAGGACCAAGCACTCCTCTCAGCTTTGCTGGCGTTGGTCCGTATTGAGCTCCCAGGACCCCCAAGTCCTTACATCTTTAGGGTTTTTAAAGTGACAGTAATCCCAGAGCCAGAGGGTGGATGAGGTTGGAAGGGACCTTAGAAGACTGTCTCGTCCAGTGCCCTCCTCCAGGCAGGGTTAACTACAGCAGGTTGCTCACGACTCTGCCCAGTTGGGTTTTGAGTATCTCCAAGGATGGAGACTCCACAGTCCCTCTGGGCAGCCTGTTCCAGTGTTCAGTCACCCACACAGTATTTTTTTTTTTTCTTCTTAGATTTAAGAGGAATTTATTGTATTTCAATTTGTGCCCATTGCCCCTTGTCCTGTCACTGGGCACCACTGGTAATAGCCTGGCTCCATCACCTCTACTCCCCCCATCAGATATTTATACACTCTGACAAGATCCCCCTGAGCCTTCTCTGCTGCAGGCTGGGCAGTCCCAGCTCTCTCAGTCTCTCCCCATACATCAGATCCTCCAACTGCTTAACATTCCCCGTGGCCCCTCAGCACACTCAGTCCAGTAAGTCCCCATCTGTCCTGTACTGGAGAGCCCAGCACAGGGCATGGCACTGTGGATGTCTGACCAGTGCTGGGCAGAGGAGAAGCGTCACCTCCCTGGACCTGCTGGAGATGCTCTGCCTCGTGCAGGCCTGGAGGCTGCTGGCCGCCTTTGCTGCGGGGACATGTCACTGGCTCATGGTCAGCTTGTCTCCCAGGACCCCAGGAATGCTGCACAGCCTTGCTGGTCTTGGACACAAGCAAAGTAAATGTACGAGACAGAGGTATTATCTTTTACTAGGACAACTCAGAATGCTGCAAAAGGCAGACAAGAAGAATACCAACAGTGAATGAAGTTAAAATGCCATCAGTTGAGGAGATCAAAGGAAATAATTTCTAATGAAATGTACAAATAATCTGTGGAACTGCCCCAAGCCACTACCAAAGCAAACGGCACAAATCTCATAGACTATCCAGGGACACTCCAGCAAACAGGGAAGGCTTCCGCAGCTTTACTGATAGGTTTGCAAATCTAAGAAGTAGAAATCTTTATCCTGCAGGGCAGGGTGGGTGGCTCATAACCTGCCTAGACAAAATGGCCATTATATTGGATTAAGTTTTCACATTCAAGCCAAACGAATGATCTCCTCCTCTACAAACCCAAAAGGCTGTCCACACCCAGAGACAAGGTCTTGCACTTGATGGACCACTGCTCTCAACTTTATGGCAATTTCCGTGCTACTCCTGCCTTTATTGATTCAGTCTCCCCATTTTCATTAAAACAAGGAATTAAATCTTGTACTCTTGAACAGTGCTACAATATATCCTCCAGCATTGCTGCCTGCAGCTGGAATAATGGAGCCAGCCACAGCCGGCACCCCGGCCCCAGCCGCGAGCGGGGTGCGATGGGGAGCAGGGCAAGAGGAGCCGTGTCCCACACTGAAGCTGGCAGAGTTCAGCACAGGCCTCCTGAGCCCGCTCTGTGCTTACGGGTAGTATCCGACCTTGGGAAAGTCCTCACTTTAGACACGACCTGTTCATTTTAGCTATTCTTAAAACAATATGCATGAGTGGATTTTTGCTTTTAGTATATTACACCAAAGATACATAGCTTCAGGTACATGTGTGAGCTGCTTAGCTAGAAAAGGCTAGGCAAATTGTCTTCAAACTACTTGAAAGAGCACATATTTACCAAGATGACAGTGTATTTGCAGAGGTGTGGATCTAGCCCTGTTATAACTATTTCTTCAAGCCCTTATTTTAGCAGCCCACATAACTCCCACATAAATCCTGAAATGTTCAAGTAAACACACAGATAATAGATAACAAGATAATAGTAGATGATAAGCTAATAATAAATTAGATAATAAACAATAAAAGATAGACAGAGGGATATCAAAGGGAGCAGTTACACCAGGCACTGTTAGCAAGGTGCCCTCTGGCAGAGAAGGGAACTCCCACAGCGGGCTGCATCAACAGCCATGCAGCCAGCGCCGGGTCAGCGATCCTTGCCCTCTGCTCAGCACTTGTGTGAGCACATCCAGAGAGCCGGGGCCAGTTTTGGGCTCCCCAGCACAAGACAGACATGGGTCCACTAGAGCATGGTCCAGCAAAGGCCACCAGGATGGTCAGGGGCTGGAGGAGATGCTGAGGTGACAGGGGTGTGGCACAAAGGAATCCATCACGTAGTGGTGATTGACTTCTACTAACTATTTAGCCCACAGGCAAAGAACAATTTCAGACTTTATTTGACTCCAGCACATATTAATGTTTCATTGCTGACAAGGTGAAGTGCTCACAGTCAGTGGAAAACACACCAAGCAGCCCAGGGGCATGTGCGGCGGATATGCCTCTGCCACTCCTGTTTGGAGATCTGGGGAATCCTCTGGGCTTTGGTCTAGAGGAACATCTGCAACTGGCTGAAATCAGCCAAAACCAGCAGCGTTCTGTAATGCTCTTCCCTGCCAGGTAAATAGTGACTAAAAGGTGTGAAATTCTGTACTGTCTTTGAAATAGCCAAGAAAATCAAAGGAATTTCTTCCAGCTTGCTCTCTCCAACTGGATGCCCTACTAACCAGCAACACCACATGGATAACACGAGAGCCAAGAGGAGATAACTCTGGGAACACAAGTTTTGATAAATATAGCTGAACAACCACTGCCAACAGGCATCAGCAAGATTGAATCTCACTGTAAATGTTCAAATGTGTGACCAGATGTTGGATTTTTACTGCTCGTGAACTCCAACAAAAAGCAATTTCTTCCATCCACTAGAGAGTTGAGCCAATCACAAGACAATGAAGTAGTAGAGAACAGATACATTCAGCTAAATATGATCTACATTTAGTGGAAATCAGATCCAGCTCCCAGGTTTCTGGCAGGTGGCTAAGACACCCGTTGGTGTCACAGCAGCCACCATGCCCAGCACACCATGTTCAGCTCTTGTGTACTTCAGTGCCTAAACACAACTCTCACAGCTTCAGGTGTGACTCAGTGCTTAGACAATTATGCAGTTATGCTTGCATTATAAATAATATCATACACATCCCAGATGACCGTACAATTGTGGTTGCATTATAACAACACAGAAAGGCGAACTGTAAACCATGTACACACACACACATTAATGTAGAATTTTACCCTACCCTACCTGTCTTGTACCAAGAACGCAGAATTATACACTTGCTCACAAACTTGCCACAGTCAAATCCCCCACACAGCCCTTCCGCATTTCTCTTTAGAGTGATTACTTATGTTTGATATTTCCTACGATAATTTTTAATTTAAACTGCTAGAAAATCTGTACCAACTTGCAATTCAAAAGTATATATATGAACTGAGCAACAGATCCAGTGGAAATAGAGACCACCCTGGAAACACTGAGCGACTGTTAAATGCAGAGGTTCTGGCAGGGAGTATTTCCAAATAGCAGAAAGACTTGCCAAAGTTACAGCCTTTGTTTTTGTTTACCAAACAATACTCACTCTATATGGTATGGAACATGCCCCTAACAGTGCTTTCAACTTTCTGCTCAGCAGCACCCTGGAATTTTTGAATTAAGCCTGAAGGAAATTGAGCAAAGCTCAAAGAAACACTACACAAACCAGACCTCCTGAAAAATCAGCATCTGACAGCCAATATTTATGGATTTAAGGATTAAAATTACTGGGATTGCTGCTTACTTTCTCATTTTTCATGAGCTTCTCCTCCTTTCCTTCTTTGTGAAAACATCCTATTTTTTTTCTCCTCTTGATAATCTTTATAAAACACACATCATTAGTACTGCACACTTGGTGTTGGATTACTGAATATGCAACACTGACTCTAACAATACTTTCTGAGAAAGAAACTAAAAGGTATTGGGAAGAATTTGCTGTGTATCTACATTTTATTCCCTCTTCAAAGGGTTTATAGAACATGGGATTTGGAAATAAACAGGTCTCTTCTGCAAGTGCTCTGCATATGGAGCCACTGAGTTTCTCCTCATACACGCCTGTATGAAGAATTACAATATTTCAGATGCTTTTCACCCCCCAAGCCCCTCCACAGCAATTTCCTCATGCCCACACGTTTCCTCCACCACCTCACATCCCACTCTCCTCTGTAAATTACACCTCACATAAACATTGCTGGGTTACTTGTAAGTGGCACATGTTCATTTTCTCCTCCCTTCCTAATATAAATTTCTCTCCTTGCAAATATACAGAAGGGACAGGAAAAAGCAAAACAGGAGGTCTTACCTTTTGATGGTCTTCTTTGTTTCGTTTGTAGAGAAGAGAACGTACCCATTACAGCACCCATTGCAAAAGCTACTTGTGAGTTTTTGGGGAGGATTTATTTTGGCTGGGATTTTTTTTTATTCTTCTCACCCAACCCCCCACCGCCAGTAAACAAAATCTATGTGAAATGCCCCCAAAAACAAAACAAAACAGAGGAAGTCAAGAGAAGAAAGAAAAGAAGAAAGGAGGAGGGAAAAAGCAAAGCACTGCAGCTCAGCGTTCAGCAAGCGTTAAGCTTTGAGGCTTTTTTTTTTTTTTTTTTAAGTCAACACACATGCACTGACTCACAGCCGGCTGCACTGTTATTATTCAAAACAGCTCCCCATCAAAATTTAAATGCTAGGTAGATTCCCTCAGACCAGAGCTGGCAGCAGATGCATCAAAATATTTACTGGAGCACAGCCACATAAACACACAGGCTAATTCTTCCTCCCGTTCCCTTATGGCTCCAACCAGCAGCCTGTAGGTCTAGCGAGGGAGCATCAGTGCATCTCTTCCCGTGAATACTAAACTGGAGTCCTGTAGACATGCTGAGGGTCTCAGGGGGAAGTGAGGGCTTTGGGCTGGGTACCAATTCGGAATGAATGGAAATCTTCTGCGTGGGAAATGATAGTGAGTGAGGCATCAAAGCCCCAGCTGCACGGACTGCTTGCTCTGCTAATTAAGAGTCTGACAGAAAGGTAGGAAGCAGCAATCTCTAACAGCCTTCTCAAGCAGAAAAGTCAGGGGAAAATAAGTAAGTGCAACAGGGGAAAACAGGAAATTTCACTATAATCCTTCTCCTTCACAACCTTTCTCATGCACCAGAAGCACATGCAAGACATTTGTTAATAACTTATTTTTCTGCAAGGTATGAAATATGGACACCCTTTTTAAGGACATTAAAACAACAAACTGTTGAAACAAAATTCTGCAAACATCCAGTGGCTCGGAGGAGGTAGGACAATGCCCAGCATTTTGTTCAGTTCTGTCACATTTCAAAAAATCAGCTACACATCGTTATGTTTTCTCAGAAGGTGAAATAGCAACTGTTCAGGTACAGAAAGAGTTAAATATACCGAGGCAGCCGTCAGAACCAGAATTAATTTGCTATTTGCACACAGCGACTGAGATTAAGGAAGCATCTGTGCAAATACTGTATTTGTCTGAAGAAATTCATTCCTACACCAGAGACCAAAGCGCCTTGTCTCAACAGGTTTCCCCATCTTTCCTCTAACTTTGCAGTAAAGATTTCCGCAAAGGCAGATCCCAGAGCCCCCAGGACCAGAAGCTGCACAGCACTGGTGTCCCCTGAGGGAAAGCCCTCAGTTACCTTCTGCTCACACGCTGCCAGCAATGCTGTCTTTGCATGCACAGGTATATTTGCATCCCCAGTGTATACCAGCAAAGAGTTTTCAGTTAGTTGCTAGTTGCAAATGGCATTACACAAAATAGTCTGGTTTTGGTGCGTTTTTCTTCTTGTTTTACAACCCAAAACACAGCAATTGAACTTTTCCTGAGGAATGTCTGAGGGAAGGTCCTGGTTAGATATCGAAGTCCTACACTGAAACGTATCAGGCTGCTGAGAGGCACACAGTGCCCAAGGCTTGGCCACACCGGGCTGCCATTGTCACCGCGGAGGGAGCCTGTCCTGCCTTGTGCAACGCTCCCTGGCTCCCCCCAAACTCCTTGTCCAGGCTGGCCACGGCTGTGGTCCCACAGCCCCTGGGCTAACAGGCTTCTCCCGCTGCCTGGATACAGATGGGAGTCCCTCAAACTAAGGTGATCTCCACAAGGCACTGAAAAGCTGCATGAGATTCTTAAGCTCTTTTTTATTTAAATATTTATTTTATGAATATTTTATTTGTGTTTACACATTAGAATATTAGATAGGCTACAGCATGCATGTGGAAAAATCACTGCTCTTGATACTTGTGCACACAACAAAGTCTGGAAGGTGACTAGAGGCCAAGGCAGATGTGCCCTCTTGTCACAGCGGCTGCTTTACGCCACAGCTGCCAAGATGAGAAACCAGCAGTGATGACGTGCCTGGATGTGTCCTTTTTCATGCAAACAGACAGCAAAGAGAGGTGGGGGGGGCTCCTATTTGGCAGGCTGGGTTTGCACCCCCATTGCCACCTCAGTGATACATCACTACCCTTACTGGACACAGGTGCCATGACAAGAGACTCCATGGGTCTTGGGGCAGGAGCTGTGCTCCTGCAGCTGAGTGGGCACCCCTGGACCAGGCCTTCACCAGTGGGCGAGGGCTGCAGTGGTCCTGCCTCCCCCCAGCAGGAGGTCTCAGTGCCATCTCTGGACTTGCCTAGTGGCATCAAGACAGCCACAAGTGTCCTACCACCAAAAGCAACAGCTGCCAGCAGGACGCTGTGCTCCCCTGTCCTCTGCTGCCAGGCATGATGTCTCCGGGATGTCAAAAATGGAAACCTCCTCAATCCAGGCAAAGTTGTTGCTAGCAGAAGTCAATGTGCTCCTGTCATATCATCCACTTGCAACACCACACGGCAGTTGACTCATGCACTGGGAAAAACACCTAAGAGATCCAAAGTAAATAGTTGCAAAGAACTACATGGATCATCATAGAATAATTTAGGTTGGATGACACCTTTAAGATCATCGAGTCCAACTGTAAACCTAACACTACCGAGTCCACCACTAAACCACATCCCTAAACACCACATCTATATGTCTTTTAAATACCTCCAGGAACAGTGACTCATCCACTTCCCTGGGCAGCCTCTCACAACGTTTGACAACCCTTTTGGTGAAGAAATTTTTCCTAAAATCCAATCTAAACTTCCCCTGGTGCAACTTGAGGCCACTTCCTCTCATCTTATCACTTGTTACTTGCAAGAAGAGACTTCCACCCACGTCGCTACAACCTCCTTTCAGCAAAAAGCACCTAGAAAGTATCTGGCTTCAGGATTCCTCCTGACACTGGCTGGATCCCAGCCATGCAGAAAGAGCTTGGCCTAGGAGTGACAGATTAGGCTGCCCATATGGTGAGATACCCTAGAAAAAAGGTAAATTAGGAAGATAAAATTGCACCCCTGATGCTGCACTGTTGTTTACTTGAAACAGCATGGTATATGGAGGCGGAGGGCAAATACAAATATTCAGTTTTATTTGAAACTTGAAAGAAAAAAATATTTGTCTTGGCTGGAAACCAGTATTGACAGGTCTCTGTGAAATCATGGGGATAAATGGTTACAGGCATTTTTGTTTGTATGACTCAAATATACAGGAATTGGGACAAGAGGAGAGACCATGTCTGTGTCTGGGCAGATGAGCACAGAATCCCCAATCACCAGTTCAAAAGCAGCCACTTTCTCTCACAGCTGAAAATCAAGACCTCAGAGGAACAGAAGCATCATAAACACTAATGAATTAGGGTATTTGCCACAGCAGGCAGGAATTCTCTTTCCCCAAAGATGACCATCCAAATTTACCAACCTAGGAGATAATACCCAAGATGTAGAAAGTGCTGATGTTCATCCTCTATCCAAGGAGCTGAGTATTTTTCAGAGTATTTCTTTTAGAGGCAAGATGAAGACTGAGCTCTGGCTGTGATGGTGAAACGCAGAGCTCTAGCAGTGCAGGTACCTGGGTAAGAGCTGCTATCCGAGGATCAAAAGCACCTCGGGGAAAGGAGACACCGTAATGTGCTGAACCTGAGTGCAGCCCCCCGGTACTGATTTGCAGTGCTCCAGAGCCCGGCCGCTGCTTACTTCCCAGTGCCATCAGAAACCCCAGCTGCACATCGCGGGGCTCTCGCATGGCACGGTTTACCCCGTTCTCAAGCCTTTGCTTGCACAGCTGAAGGTATGTACCGCTCCAGGATGCCCGCCGTGCCACGTCTAAACCCACCCACTTTCCCACAACAAGTTCACCCGACAGGTGACGTGTGTGACCACCTCAGCAGTCACCGCTAAGGAGGAGAGAATCCCCTGTGGGCAAGGGCCACAAGAGCTTCACGCAGGTGACAGGCAGACACACGCACACACAGGCACAGCAACACGGGGCTCTGCCCCAGCAGAAGCCTGGGTAGGTACTCAGCCAAGCACTCGATGCTGGGCGCTGATCTCCCGAGCTAGATCAGCAGGGCAGACACGTCCCCACAGGTCACCACTAATCCATCATTACTGTCTGCCAGCGATTAAACCCCATTCCATCCTTTTACTACTACTATAGACCATATCGTAATAAATTCTCTCTACTGACAAAACCATGACCCAATACTATTCGCTGACCCCTTCCCGATTTCTTTCCACCTCTTAACTCTATACTATTGCTTTTAATAGCATCTGTGAGACTTTCTAACATCAGAGCAAAGTAGACATACAGTGGCAGGAATGTAGGTGCGTATTTGTTGCACGTAGTCAGAAGGTTTGGTCAGAATAAGTAGTTCATTATTTTTAATAAACGCAAATATAGCATCTTCAATTAGGGAGTCATATCACCAGCTAGCTGATACTGGTACGAGATGGCAATCTCGTGGGAGCAAGGTCATAGGGATCGGGGCAGCTCTGCTCCCTGATGCAGGATCAGGTCCCTCTTCCCTCTAAAGACAACAACCAGTACATAATGGATCCCGACCACACTTGGCATTATACCTATCCTGAACTATGCATTTCTGGTGTTTTTGCAGGTACATACAGGAAAGTAGAGGGGGAGGTTGCTTTTTTAAATCATGCATAAATGTGAACCATTTCCAGGGGGAAACACCCTCCCTAAGCACAGTATCGAGGGATGTAATCTCTGGTTTATCTGCCATCCTCTCCTACAAGGCAAAGCTGGCAACACCAATCTGTAGGACTAGCAAGGGAATGCCTCAGACATACGCAGATTTTAAAACTTAAGGCATTGGTGAAGTTCTCATGTATTTTTTAGTCTCCTGAAGTACAGCAATGACCATTTGCGTAGTAGGAACACAACTAAAACCTGAAAACTGCCTGTTTATAGCAAACCCTTGCCATTCACTGGGTACCTATCAGCTTTGAGTGGTTTCATCTAGGTTCTGCTTTAAAAAGTCTGAATAGGGCTGGAAGTGACTGACTCCTTTTCCCTTCTGGGTATTTTGGGAATGAGACCTAGGCAACATTGGCCCCAGTTCCTCTCTATGTGCGTAAGACTAAAGGAATTCAATTTTTCATATTTCAGTAACTAACGCTTGTTTCAGGGAAGTATTTTACATTTACCCCACAAGGAATGCTTCACTTTAAGGCGGAGGTGGCTTTCTGTTCACCTAAGCAGCTACTGTTTTTCCTGAGGCTGAATATAAGCAGAGTCCTTCCTACAAGCAAAAGAGAGCGTGCAAGTAGCAGGCTGGGAGCTGGGATGGTGCCACGTGAGCACTGGCACAGAAATGCCAGGACTCCTGCTTTCAGCTGTGTCCACTCTACTGTAGCCTGGTCAGATGTTCCTAATTGGGACCCACTGACAGTGGCCCAATTACCGCTCAGTGCTCTGGCACAAATCCGCCTCCAGCCATGACAACAAGCTGGGTCCCCCCAGCAGCACACACACAGTTGCTCCTGTGATACTCTGGGCATGGAGTCCTCCATGAGGGATGGCAGCCGGGGAAGGGGGGGCAGC